TATGCACCTCCTTGACCCTTATTAACTGCTTATTAACCTCTGCAAGGTTTGTGGAGAAAAAAATTGTCAAGTGTAAGAATTCGTGTGTAAGAGGAGACACAAGCACAGGGTGGTCCAGCCTTGCAGTGCTGGTATAATGAATGAGAAGAGCCTTTCCCTGCATCCCCAGGGTGATTCCTTACACTATCAGTGAACTTAATTTTATTTCAAAATGAAATAAAAAGGGAAGAGGAACTACTTCAGGAGTAAACAAGGGCTCCTTTCTCTGCCTCATGCCTGTGTTGGGAGTGTTATGTGACAATCACACCACGTACAAGTACAGCAGAGCAGCAAAAGCACTATAAAAACCAGTCCATGCTGACACAGTGATTTACCTTTTTTAGAGCCTTTAAATCTAGGACAAAATGCACATAGTAGAATCTCTGCTTCTGGGAGCCCTCCTGTCTAAGGGCAGCATTTACAGAAGCTCTCACAGTCACACTTGTGCTCTCACTGAACCTTTAGAGAAAGGAAATCACTGGAGTCTTCAAAGGCAGCTGTGTGAAGGTCTCAGGACTAAGTCATTCTTCATGTTTGGGGTTACTGCACTACACACGATGCCTGTCCCAAGGAGCAGGTCTTTCACCTGACAGTACTGCTCCTGGGTTGCTGAGCTTTGAAATCCAGTTGCCCTCCTGAAGGGTTCAGGTCTTCAGCAGCCAAGAGCTCTCTGCTTTCTGAGAAAATAAGACTTCACAGCATGCAAAATGTATCATCATGCCCTCTAGGCCTGCCTTGGGAAAGGAAGATCTGCAAAGCAATGAATGGGCTGCCACCCAGATGGCGTCTGGGAGAGCACTAAAGTATATGGTCAAGACCTTGACAATAGTGATAGAGATGTAGCTCAAGAAAAGGTTTACTCTGCACATGGGAATGATCTTTTTTGGGGGTTTGGTGGTTTTTTTTGTTGGATTTTTTTCATCTAGCTCTCTTCTGCTCAATACTTTTTATGGCTCTTTGCAGAAAGATGAATTACACCACAAAAAAAATAAACCCACTCATGGGCTGCAACAGCTTTTGCTAAATGGAGTTCCAGTGCATTGGCAGGGGCATAACAGCTTGCTAAGCTGAGAAAGGAACACTCTGCCAGAAGGTTTAGCCTTTATTTGCTGAAGTTGCACTTGTGTTATTTTCTGTTCCAGAGAATATGAGAGTCTCTCTTGGAAAATGCTTCACTGGCCTGAATGACAGTTCCAGTAGGTTTCATTTAAGAACAGTCTCTGCCAAATTAACAGCCCAAATACCACATAGAGACACCCTCCCCGTGCTTTAAGGTAAACACAGAGAAGAAAAACAGTTTGGTTCTGTTCTTCAGGTCTCTTTTTCTTTCCCCTGCCCCAGACCCAGTGTGCAACCTTGTATTTCTCCCATCTCATTGCAGGATTTATTTCTGCCACCCTCTCTCTGGCACAAGGAGGCAGGAGGGCAGCTGTGAATAGCAGAAAAAATTTGCCCTGCCTGTGTATGTAGGGAAGTCCACATCCTGGAAGAAGGATGTAAGTGAAGAGTGGGACCAGATGCTACATGTCTTACAGCTCTGCAGAGAGCAGTCTGCAGCAGCTCACACTGTTAGAGAAGTTGTTGGGAGTAGAAAAGGGAAAATCCAGCCAATGCAAAGGACATTTACATCAGGGGGAACATAGATATTAGATTTGGACATGGTCCCCCCAGCCAATATTTGCTTTTGCATTCTCTCTGGGTCTGCTCTGAGGCTGGTGGCAAATCTGTCTGTGACTGCAGCCAAAGCAAGACTGGAGGTCTGACAGCATCCAGTGCCGAGCCGTGTCTTCCTGCCAAAGCTCCCACCAGGCTGCTGACCACCTCAGCTCACACCAGTGCCAGCTGTGCCTAATACCAGAGGTCACCCTGAGCACAGAGGAACGTGGCCACCATGGCAAAATGCAGCTGCCAAAAGTGAGACACAAACCACTGCAAGACAAGGAACACAACCCCATTTGCCCCGGATGTCTTAACTTCTGTGGGGCTGCTCCTGAGAGAAACAGCAGCTCAAAGATCATCCCTGCCTCAGCCACCTCTGTTTAGTCCACAAATTTCCTGCCTGGCATGCTGCCTCCGTGAGAACTTCATTTCTTGGATCACCTGCTCATATCACAACTACCGTAAAGATTTAGGTAAACAGGCAGTAAAAACAAACTGCATTTATTTTAAGGGTTTTTTTTCTGATTTGTTAGGTTTGTGGTTGGTTGTTTGTTTGGCTTGTTTTTTCCCTTTTTTTTTTTTTTTTTTTTTTTTTTTTTTTTTTTATTTTTTTTTTTATCTGTGTGAAATAATTAGAAATGTGTGGTGGAAAAAGATTCTGAAAATGAAATATTGTCCTGTAGTGTTACAAGGAAATCAAGAAGGATAGAGACAGCTACTTCAAAAAACATGCATGTTTTGCTGTTAATTAACTTTCTCAAAAAATAGTTTTATGCAGAAGGCTACCCCTGGAAATAGAAAGATGTTTTATATTGGCAGTTTCAAAAGTTTTTTTCACAAATCTGAGAGTTACTAATATTTAACAAGATAAGTGAAATTAAAAAAAAATGCTAATCTTTTCCTCCTAAGTGCACTGTTGAACTGCAGAAAATTCAAATTACTATATATTTTACATCTGCATCAGCTGTAACACAGACGACCAGTAAACTATGGGGATATTTTTAAATATGTGAGGATTGGAATTTAAAATTTATTCCTTACACTTTTACCTGTTGACACTGTCAGTGAATTTTCACACAGTCTAGTGAATAATTAGGACATGATTAATTGTGCTTTTGCAAGGAATTTGTTTTAAATTTCAAACAGCATTGTAGAATTCACTTAAGTTTTATTTCTAAACTCAGGGATCTGTGACTCTCTGTCTAATTATTTTGCACCAGTGCAATAACTCTGATTTGCAGCAGTAAGAAAATATAGGAATAGTTAAGAAAAGTGATTATAAAATCACTTTTGTTTCCTCCACATCTCACCACCAACATTTCTCTCAAAAGCAGTGAAAGCAATCAATATTTTCTTCTGGTAAGGTCTGATTCACTGAGTCTCTGTGGGGACTAGAAATTTGGAAAGCTCAGGTACAAACTGCCTCTTCACTTGATGAAGTGCAGCTCCCTCTAAGTGGCTGTTTGTCAGATGAGATGCCTTATTCTTAATTTTTTTATGATAAGAACCAGAGGTGCCACAATAAGAAATGAAAATCCAGAGAACTGGTGAAAGGCCACTGCTGAAATCCCTTCCTTTTAGAATATACCCAGCTTTGAGGGGAAATTTTGGCTTTCCTAAGGAAGTTGCAAGATAAGCCCAAAAGAGGGGAGTACAGCTGTAAAGAGAGGAGGCCACTGTCACTTACTTTTCTGGTACTTGTGCCTCTGGGAACCTGGTCAGGGGGCGAACAGGCAGCAAAATCAGGCGCTTCCTGTGATTCTCTCCCGAATGCTTTTCCAGCGCCTGGCCACGGAGCTTGCTCCTGCTGGAATCAGCCTAGAGCTGGTCCGGCTGCCTCATTTATAGAGAAGCAGTTCCTTTGTCTGGCGCGTGTCACCACTAGTCCTGGCAATCCAGGGAGCATGTTTTGCATCTCCCAGGAGATCCTCTCTCTGTCTTGCCTTTTCTCTGCTCACCACATGCCCCCTGCCTTTTTCTGGGGCTGGGGTGGTAGCTGGAGCCATCCTTACCAGCTTTAGTCACTTATCTCAGTGACTCTGGCTAGAATTTTGCAGGAAAGGATGGAACCAGCATTAGCAATAGTCTAATTCTCCCCTCTTTTTCCGCTGCTGTTTGGGAAGTAGGGTTTTTGGGGTTTTTTGTGTTTTTTTGTGGTTTTTGTTTGCTTGGTTGGTTGGTTGGTTTTTGTTGTTTGTTTGGGTTTTGGGTTGTTTGTTTTGTTTTGTTTTTATTTTGTCTTGGTTTGGTTTGGTTTGGTTTGTTTAATTTTACTTATTTATCCAGCTCTGGCATTGTCAGTGTTTCCAGAAATGGAGATGGCTCTTTCAAAAGCCCCCCTTAGCATCGCTCGGAACTGAGGAACAGACTGGGGGTATTTATTGCACTCCCAAGCAGGAGGAAGGTCCTGCTCTGCTCTGACAGAATGTGAGGTGTATCTGGGGGGTGAACATATGCAGGCAACTGGATCCTGCCCTTCCTTTTTTAGTGGAAGATCCCTCTCACTTGGAGTCACAGCTGGCACCTCCTGCAGCCAGAGGACCGTGACAGCTGCTGCTGTCCCAGTGCTGCCCCAAGCCCTGGTGCCACTCTGCCTCACTCTGTGTGAGAGCAGGAGCTGTGTGAATTCACACCTTTTCCAGCCTGCCCTTCATTCCAGGGCCCAGGCAGTGCACTGAAGGTTTAACTCATGCTTTCACAGCAAAGATGAGTCAGCTCCATACCCTTGTGGCTATGATGTAGGGTCAGTGAAACACAGACTCCTTTCTCCTGGGGTGTCCCCAGAGCTTCCTCTCTGAGCCAGGACAACAGGCAACAAGGTGACATCTGAGTGCAAAACCCAAAACCTGCAGAATAACCCCATTCTAATCATGTGTCTGTGTCCATGACAGGGTCTGGTCCATCCATCCTCACCCTTGCCCTGGGTAACCACTCATTTATAGGTCAAACACTGGAACAGGTTGCCCAGAGAGGTGGGGGGTGCCCCACTCCTGGAAACACTCAAGGCCACTTTGGATGGGGCACTGAGCAACCTAATCTAATTGAAGATATTGCTCAGCTCAGGGTGGTTGGACTAGGTGGCCTTTAAATTTTCCTTCCAACCCAAACCAGTCTTTGTTTCTATGAAAATAGTCATAAAGTTGACCCTGGCACAGACCGTCTAGCCTTACTACAGTCATACAGACCCTTTGGGACCTGTCCAGTCCTTTCTGCTCCTCCATCCACTTTTCAATTAAGTGCTAGGAGTTTGCTTTGGATGAACATTTGGATGAGCAAATGGGGAGAACAAGAGCAAGGTGCCTGCTTATTCCCTGGAGCAGCAGGAAATATCCTGGGGAGAACAAATGGGGGGGAAGAAGAAGTCCCAGCTCATCACCCCACTTTCATGGGGCAGGAAAACTTCTGCACCCAGGATAAACACTCCACCACTTCCCTCTGCCAGGTCCCAGGAAAGCTCAGCTATTACCCAGACCAGCTCACCCCAAACAGAAAGATGGCTCAGCAGTGCTCACCTGCTGGGTTTTTATCAGCACTGAGAATGTTTCAGCTAACAGGACAGCCCATAAATATTAATAAGCCAGCAGTGGAATGATGCAGTCGCTCTCTGTAGAGAATGAGCCTCGGGTCCCTGCCAGGGCAGAGCTGTTCCCTGCAGAACTCGAAGGAAGGTTCAGCCCTTTCACACGGTAAATTAACAGTGGCACTACAGCCTGAAAGCTGTGTCAACCGCTTCATTTAGCACAAGTGTTATGTTAACTAAAGGCCCTATTCCGGAGGGGCCCTTGGCCTCACAGAAGCCTAATTTCCATGTAATTTACACTGGAGAGTTGGAGAGTGCCCCTCCTCTCTGTTACTTCCTCCAACCTATTATGTTCCCAAAACCTGCCCTGAGATGCTCCAGCCAGTGGGCAGCAGCAGGGAAAGGGCTTGTGGGTCCAGAAAGGGAAGGGAACTGAAGCCCCTGATCCCTAACTGCTTCGATACTTCACTGCCTGGAGCTTTCTAAACCTGTCCAGACAAAGCACTACAAAATACACAACCAGGAAAGCTTCTTTCCTTGCAGGGACATGGGTAGGATGGACTGCTTTTCATCTCCACTCATGTATTCACACAGGAGAGGGTGCAGACATGACAGAACTTTGTCCTGCACTGCTGGGTTACACCAGAACTCACTGCCAGGCACTGGGCAGGAGGTCCCAGGTGCTGAGCCAGCACTGGGCAGTGCTGATGAGATGGCACAGGGTTGCTGATATTTACACCAGCATCAAGGGTCTTTTTCATGCTGTCAAAATGCTCTGAAGGGGTCATACATCAGGGACTGCTTCACTGTGTCTTTATTAAGTTTCCTATTGAGCTGTGATTACTTGGCACCCATGAACCACACCAGTCTTATTCATCTTCCTCTCTATACTTGTCAGTGACCTGGCAGCAGGGGGAACACATTACAATCCAGACCATGTGGTCTTTTCCACAGACCAGGATAGTATAACTCAGCCAGGAACAAGCACTGTGGAAGCAACATCACACCCTGGATTTGCTCCTCCTCACAAAAATCTCTGCTGGGACACATCCTAACAACTTCCCTGGAGTCTGGGGCAATTCTCTATCTGCAACAAGTCTGGTTTTCAGCAGCCACCCATTACAAGTTCATGAAAATTGAAGGGGATACCAAACAGATTTTGTAAGGTGCGTTATTAGCAGGTCACTTCAGCCACTCACCTCTGCACCACAGGAACTGTTTGACCTGGATGCAGCAGCAGACTGAACACTTGTCTTATGAACTGCATTTCCACGTGTGACTCTGTGAAGGGGGACACTTGAGAGTTGGCCACTTTGAAGAGGTCAAGAACATGTGGGTGGCTGCAAAGTGTGAACATCTCAAAACTTTTTGAACTCTGGCTTGCCAGGATTAAAATTCCAGCCCCTGAAACAAACTAGGGGCGTAACCCTCATTGTTCCTCTTCCTAAAAGGAAGAAAAGCTGTTTCTGGTGTAGGGAACTGTGTGATATGCCAGCAGGAGTAAAAGGTTTTATCCTGCTGCACAACTTCCAGATCCAAGAGAAGCCTCTCCAAGAGAGGCTGGGCAAACAAGTGTTTATGGCTCCCACTGGGCCAGACCTCAAACTCTGTATTTCTCTAGCAAAACTCTGACTTGCAAGTGACTGGGATATGGAAGAGAATCCTGCCTAAATACAAGCAGAGATTTCAAAGGATGGGCCTGGATTTGAGTAATTTTTTCTGTTTTGTGAATTGACCCAGGTGAGCCTGATGAAAGCAGCACACACAGAGTGACAGGCAGGAAAAGGACAGTGAGAGGCTGCAAACCCACAGCTGTGTTATCACTGTGACTTCAGAGCCCTGCTGCACACATTGGAACAATAAGAAACAATTATGCACATCTGGGCTCCTGCCCTTTAAAATCATAATTTAGATTAATAGATTTTGAGTATATTGAGCTGGAGGAGGCTGCTTGAGGCTCAGAATAGCAGCTGCATGAAGACTGCTGAAATATTAAACTTGTATCATCTAAAGCTTTATCGTAGCATTTTGAATCTCTTATTAGTGTTAACAAAACACATCAGGGGGTGCTTTAAATTCTGGCCACACTTTCTGGCTTAATTCCAGAAGCCAAAAATCTCCTCCTTTTTAATGCTGAAACTTGCTGATAGCATTGAAGAAAATGTTTAGCCACAGAATAAAGAGACTGAAAACCTAATGTGCCTCTAAACCTTTTCACTGGGAGCAAGGAGAAAGACAAACAGCTCATTTTCCACTTGACACAGATGCACCTCGACATTCAAAGTTATTGGAAATCACCTAAAATAGAGGAAAACAAGTAAGGCATCTGAAAGGATAAGCAGCTGCTACTTTCAGGAGCACACAATGTGAAGCACAGCCAGGTTGCATGCATCAATAAGGCAACCACATCAGCATCACTCAAAACAGGGATTCAAAGAAATGTGGAGTTGAATTTAAGAAAACCTTTCTGAACAGACTGAAAGCCCCAAAGGGTCTTTGCCATAGGTGCACTTCTACAACAAACTTACAATTAATGACAAAAAGTTGTCAGAAGACCAAAAGCTTTAATTTCCAGTATGACTGCAGGCAAAACCCTCAACCTCCAGCCATTTGGATTTTATGTGCTGGGGATCTCCAGGATTTTCCACAGTCTGGCAAGTCCTCTTCCTACATGTACAAGTCTTTGGAACCATGTAGCTTGCTCTCTGAGGTGAACTCTTGTAAGAAAGGAGGGAATTTGCTCTGAATTTCTCCAACATCTCCTAGTGCAAGTTGCTGCATGGAAATGGCCAAGGGTGAAATCCTCGAAGGAGAGGTCCCAGGTTTGGTGCCTGGGCCTGCTCCTCTTACAGGACCAGCAGTGCACGTGTGTGCCAAGGGACATTCCAATCAAACCAGCCTTTCAGGAGTTCATTATGACTTTACAGTTCATTTCTTGTAGAAAAAAACTATACCTAGATGTATTCACTATCCTAATTCTTAAACATAGCTTTCTTCCTTCACTTTTAAAGTTTCTCCATCCTGTTATTTTGAATTATGAATGTATGTCAGTATTACTGCCTTGATAGTAGAGAGATTATATAGCTTCAAATTTCCTTTCAAATGGCTTTATTTCCATTGTTTTTAAGCACTTTCTGATAATCTTTTTATCAATTTTGATCAATACTTTTTTAAGTATTTCTGTATTTCAGATGCTCAGGTGGTGCAAAGGGATGAACTGTCAACAGTTACTACAGAACAGGAATCACCCCATTACTCTTTTAATTCACCTGTATTCTA